ACTTTGGTGAATTTTTTCACTAAAGTTTAATGTGTGTGATGACTAAAAAGGTACTTTGTCAACAATAATGTTGGTACGGTTTCCATTTTCAACAGACCACATAGCATTTGACTTAAAAAATTAAAGGACTGGAAAATTGCTTAAGATGAATCTAATTTGCTAGACTTGTTACAGTGGTAAATATGTTACATATTACAACTGTGTAGAACTTTTTTTTTAACATAGATTTTTTTATAACTCTCTGTAACCAAATTAAAGATTTCATTTTTTGCATTATTTTCAGCATGAGATTATACTTCCGTAATAAAAACATTTTAATCACAGCCTTGATTACCCTTCAGTTTTCTTTGTGGCTCTGCACAGGTTTTGTGGGATAAGCACATCAGCTCTTTTGTTCCCATGCAAAGAGTGGTAAATGATGAAAGCCCAAAACACTGCTGCCCTTTTCAAATCATTCATTGTCTACAAATTTCACAACACATCTGCTGTTTTTGCCTGAAGTGTGGTTTTGTGAGATATGAAAAAGCAGCATATTCGCCTTTGTACACTTGAAAGTCAGAAAACAGAAGTGACCTCATTTAAAAAATAAAGTCTCATCAAAATAGCAATGCCTGGTTACAGATGGTAAACAATAGCTGCTCCCTGAAAACAATGATGCCTGTGAGATGTGCAAGAAACATAAAATATTCATCACTGATCTGCAGATTTGCTGAAAAGGTTCCCTCACCTGTAGATAATTCCTTGTAAGAAAAGCTTTAGCTTTTGAGCTTTGTGTTCTAAGATAACCTAAATTATTCTGGGCTTCACTTTGCTATTCAGATATATTAGGATTAGATTGTAAACAACTTGCCTTGTAGGCCATTATTAGCCCTTCTTCTGCCCTGAACAATTGAGATATGAAATCTACTAGAAACTTGAAGGAGTGCTAACAGTAGACCCTTTGTGTCTTATGAGGTTTACATTTGGGCCATGGATGAGATTGGTTTGTTCAGCTCATTCAACAGATTCCTGGATCTGTGAAATATGAGGCATTCACTGCATGAAAAGTGGGATTTTCGACAGCTATTGACACCTAGTTCTGCCGTGCGCATGGACATTGAGGGCTATCGGCAAGAGGTTTTTGTCAGAGTGGAAAATTGTAGAGCACTGCCAAGAATGGTCAAAAACGCTGTGTGTCCGTGTTCCCCATCACCCCCCTCCCTTTGGGCCTAGCAGAGGTTTTCGTATTTAAATGAAGTTGCTGAGAGCCATGCAAATGCAAATCAACTGTTGAGCACCAGCCTTTGGACTCTCATTCCTGTTGTAGCTAAACTATTTTACCTTCTGTTCACCTGTTTACTAGACCCAGGACCTGGCCAAAACCCCTCAGTGTTGTTAATGCTGAAAATGTGGAAAAAGTACTATTTCACAGAGTTACTTTTTCAGTATTGTTTTGACATTAAGCGATGTTCCGGCGGAAAACAACAGATGACACCGCGGCGGTCCAACAAGACTCTAACTCACCTGTACCTTAATCTTGTTATCAGTCTCTAACAATTCTGATAACATATGTAGAACTGTCCAAACCATCACACTCCAGGTGTTTTTTTTTTTTTTTTTACCGGAAACAACATAAACTTTTTCAAAAACCTGAGCTACTGTGGCTCATCTGTTGAATTGGACCACGAGTGCCAGCCTTTGCTCTCCACTTGAATCAATGAGCGTTGACGACCTGTGACCCTGAGGCAGGTTCATCACTGTTAGACACTAACTTCTGCAGACCAGGAACACCCAGTAAGAGCTGCAGTTTTGGAGATGGTCTGACCCAGTCATGGTGCTGTTTAAGCTCAATCAAATCCTTGCTCTTACCATTTTTTCTTGCTTCTGACACAATAATTTAGAGGGACAAAAAGTTCACTTGCAGCCTGAATAACCCACCCACCAAGAGGTGCCATGATGAAGAGATAATCAGTGTGATTCACTTCACTTATTAATGGTTATAATGTTATGTCTGAGTGGCGTGAGAGTGCAATCAATGTTTCTTTGCAATATCTTGATTTCCACCTCTTCCAGTCTTTCAGCACTGTATTTGTCTTTATTTTTAATCATAGTAATTTGAAAACACATAGCAGCCTAAGTTGCTAAATGGATATTTTCTGATATATTTGCACATCTAAATCATATGCAAATTGTGTTTTAAGAGACTTTAAAAGGCTTTAAAAAATCAAAGTGATTTATTAATGCTTCAGAAAATTAGATTATGGAAAAATTATGACATCATAAACTGCCTAACACCTTATGGTTATAATTAAGTTGTCTGCTTAGAAAATGTAGCCTGACCTTTGCCTCAAAATGCAGTTTTGTTTGATTTTCATTTCCCTTCAGTGCTCCGTCTGGGCTTTCTGCCATTGAACTTGATTTCTCTGGCTGAATTTCAACCGGGATAATCGGCGAACAGAAAGAGGAGATGAAAAAGATGCTGATTTTCTGCTAAGCAGAATCATCTTTTGTATTTCGATTAGGTTAGTTAACACCGCTTAGTGACCCCTGTGGATACTTTTTGGAAATTTTTGCGCATTTTAAACTTATTGTTAATTAAATTTTAATTAAATATACACAAGTTCATAGAGTCAAGATCTTTCTCTACCAAAGATTTACTTTTTTAAATGATTTAGAATTTTGTCTCTTGGTTTGATTCTCTTAATTGAAATGTGCCTCAACATAGCAGGCAGCATTACACTGCCAAAGAGAATAGTACTAACTGATTCTTTTTCCTCCTCTTTATGAGCCAAATGAAAAAATTTAGTCAGTAAACAAAATACTGTAGTGAAGTTTCTCATCTATCTGGCTCCCAGCAAGGTATTTCATATTCATTGCACAGGGCACTTGAACTGTTGCGTTCTGGAAACATTTTGACAGGGAAGACTGACTGCAACTGCAATGCAAAAGATGAAGGCTCAGGATGAATGAGTCAGTGAGGTCGTGTCCATCTATTAGATTATCATCAAACACAGATGCAGTCGGACCAAATGTCTCGGCACTGCCATATCGGCACAGGTGTCTCATTAATGTTTCTGGCAGTGCCCTGCACATCATCATTGCCAACTGATTAACTGCTGTCAGTATACTTTGTCCCTGCCTTTCAAATTTCATTCACCTGTTTCAATTTAGAGGACATGCTGAGTGCAAGCAAGTAGTTTTGCATCAACTTGTAGAAGAGGCGGTTTGCAATTAGATGTACATCATACTACAACGCACAAATCTGGCTGCATGTGGTGTAACAGGCCAGACAGAACTTCTTGCAAGTCATTCATTTTGTAAAAAAAAAAAAAAATGGATAAGATGGCTTGCTCTATCTCTAAAGTTTTGGGGATTTGTAGCCTCATAATGTTTTATGTGAATATCAAGGAATTTTTCTAATAAACGTGAAATAAACGTGTTGATATGTAAAATAAAACACAACAAAATGCCGTAAGTAAAAAAAAAAAATAATAATAACTATATTGAAAAATGCCAATTCCAAAAGTCCAATCCTTTACCTTTTCTGTGTTTTTGCATTAGTAAGAGAGATTGCTGTGGGTAGAAAGAAATTTCTATATATGTTACATCTAATAAGACATATCCTCAGCCTGCAGCCAGAGGGCAGGAGCCAAAACTCTGAGTAAAGATGATTCGTTGAGTCATCTTTCCTATGACTCAACTGCTGAACAGCTCAGATGGAGAGTTCTGTTTTTTCATTCCAATTATTTTATCCCATTTTTTTCACAAGAGTTAGTTTCAGGCCTTAACTTTGGCAACAGAAAGGGAAAACAGGCTCAGTGTAAGATGCATTCAGTCACATGGAAATGTTGGGCTTATCACCTTATGACACAATTTTTGATAAGTGGAATAGCACAGATTGATTAATGCTTTGAATTTGGTATTTTTGCCTACATCAAGTTTGATCAAATGGCAACAATTTGGGTTTTTCTGACCAGGTGTTCACAAACAGCCTTTTAAAAAAAAATAAAATATTATTTTGGTGAAAGTTTTCAATTGCTAAGTTTATCACATATTTTGGTATTTTGAATAATTCACTAGGCAAAGTTAAGAACATTCATAAATTCAACCAAATTTATTTGAAATTTATCTTGTATTGGACTGGAAAATAAAAAGTTGTCAATGTTGAAAAGTCATAAGGGAATATTTTTTATCACCTAAAAAATATTTTCAAGAAACTATAAACAATAAGTTTAAATTTTTGGACAGTATAGTAGGAAATGTTGTGCTACTAATAAAATATAACTAAAATACCAAAAAGCTTATAAACTGAATTTCAAAAGCTTATTTACATTAAATTAAGAGAAATTAATGAATACTGTGATTACATTACATACAATTATATAATTAAATATGTCAATATTTTATTAAATTCATTTGTTTAAAATTTAGACATGTAAAGATGCACCATAATTGCTTTCAACATGACTTTGTCCATTTTCAACTCTTATTTTGAAGAACGTATGGATCTTTACCTTTTCTGTGTCCCTTTCTGTTCTCTAGCTTGTTAACCCTAACATTTTTCTTTTTGTTAAGTAACATATCTGGAACATATATATAAATTATATTTACTATTGTCATGCATTTTTTAATATATTGTTTTAAACTGTGACATTATTGGACATTCAAATTAGCTGTAGTATGTAATAAAAATAATAGAAGTTCAAGTTTATTGCAATTCATAATATCAATTACAAGAAATGCCTTTGACTTTTTTAGTGCTTTACTCATCTAATTTCCTCCATGAGGTCAAACTGAGTTTGTTTACCCTGTGCTGCGCTCTGATTGGCTTTTCAAGTTTATAGTACCGATGTTAAGGCATTCAACATCTGGATGAAAAGTGAGCTGTGCTGGGCGCGACTAACGTTTTATGTTCCCTCATTCAACCAATCATAGCAGGGAGTCTTGGTCAAGACGCTTTCTGATTGGTTGGAGCTCTTGTCTCAGAGAAGCAAGGAGGCGTGGCTTCTGCGGCTGTTGAGGTGTTGTGATTTCCAGTCGGACTGGCTCCAGTCCTGTCACAGCAGTGCGGGGCGCCTTTTCTCTACGCTGGCGCTCTGGGAATACTAACTGTTTTCCGAAAACAACCAGCTTCTACACTAACAACTCTTCGTTTTTTTTTCTTTATAACGACTTGCTCTTGTTCCTGCGACCTTATAGAAAGACTGCTAGATACATTTTGCTAGAGTGGAAGAGCCGTGGAAACAATAAGGTAAGAGCTGCCTGCTTTTCTAGTTGCGGACTGAGCGGTGCTGTCTCAGCTGTGCTGACTTTGCTCATTAAGACTCTGAGGATGCTCTAACTTTGCACAGAAGAGATGTTTCAGCAGCAGCGCCAACTGCTAATAAACAGCATAACAATCCTAAATTGTTTTTGAACTCTCGCCAAGTTAAAGCCTTTCTTATTTTTTTTTTCCACCAGCGGTCCAGTCATTCTTTGCGCTCAGACTGAATTACTGAATTGATGCAAGCTTCCCCAAGCTGGAGTCGGGACTTTTGTAATCTTCTTTAATAATTTTGCAAGATATGTTTTTTTGTGTGTCTGCATTCATTTTTCTTAGACCAACATGCTATTTGCAGCAGTAGTCTCTGCAAGTTATTGCAACCAGATCTCAGTAATTGGCCTTTTGACTGGGACACAGTTTTCATCTAAACAGCCGCTTGTTCTCAAGAGAAAGCTTTAACTTGTGCAAAACAGTGCACTGACAATAAAAAAAGGTGAGGTAAACAAATCAGTCTGGCAGGACGCGATCATTGCATAAGTGTTTTATATTGTATTGAAAGAGAACCTTTCCCTCCCACCTCGCCTATATTTTGCCTCTTAAATCATGCTTACTCCAGCTGCAGTTTAGTCTCGATGCCAGAGTCTCTGGGGGAAGCGATGAGCTCATTGTTCTAATCTAACAGGTTTCTGCTTCTGCACGCAGAGTTTAACATCAGCCTGTGTTGGATCTCTAAAATACACACAGATTTAGAATATTTTTTTCACCCCTATTTTTTTTCCACCCCTAAGATTCCTCGAAGCGGCTGGTGGTTATTTACCTTGAAATAGATGCTTCGGAGTTGCTCTCTGCAGAAATACGGATCTTTGATTTGTCTCAGCTTGTTGTGCATTAGGTGTCTCATCTCCCTCTGTGGGTTTTTAGTTTCAGCTGAGGCTAAGAACAATTGAACAGTAAATATATCTTACCCTGCACAACAGGAACAATCGTTATGACTACTTTCCCCCCATATTTGCCTCATTTTTCTGACTCAAACTAGTCCTCTCTTTGCAAAAGTTTTCCCAGCATTAAAAAAAAAAAAAAAAAAATCAGTTCAACTTTGCCCTGATTGAGCTGGGTTATTTGCAGATTCTAAATGCTCCTTTGTTTTGATTATCTGGTCAGATGTTTAGGTGCTGTCCATGTGGTCAAATCTTGTGATTTTCTTTGGTTTAGCTTTGTCTCCATCCTCTCAGCTGCTGCAATGACTTTGCAGGATGGGGAGGGGATGGTGGCACTCATGGCTTGCGGTTTTCTTACCACACTTGTACAATGACTTTGCACTCTTTGCTCCTTCCAGAGTATTGCAGTGTGGTTTCAGGTTATTCTATTTGACATGTAGCTGGTGTGCTGACAAGTAGGAGTGCTGCTTCCGTGCAGGGCAAGTGGGATGCTCCTGTGTGGCCCGATTCTCTACCAGCAGGTCTGTCTGTGCTCCCACTCGCACTATGAATAGTGCAGACCCATCTACATTCAGCCCTCGTTTGAGGTGGTTGTCAACACTCGGCATAAGGCGGCCCCTGTTTGTTTTTTTTCCGCCGCTTATACACATAATCATTAGGGAAAATTTGTTTCTGCTGACAAATGAGTTGGTCATAAATGTGAGAAAGTGCCAAGTGCCCAGCATTGCATTCATTCCTCATCACTGCTCAGAATTGCTTTCTCTTCATCCAGTCCTCGTTCCCCGAGCCCTGATAGGTTTGTCGCTTAGTTAGCGTGGTTAATGGTGCATTTAGCCCAGTGTGTAATTTTATTTCCGATTTCCATTTTATCGTTTGCTTTGAGTTTGAAATGACGGACCCTATATGTGCGGATGGCATCCTCCTAATGGTCCTCAGGGTAATGATGGCTGAAATAGGCTTCTAACCGGAGGCTGAGAGCTCTGGCCCTTGGGGGACATTCAGTTTGACTATTTTCATGTCAAGATGAAGTGTTCAGTAACCGTGTCTGTGGATATAAAGCGAACACTCTAACTTATTTTGCAGCTTTGATCGGTCAAAAAGGAAAAAAAAAGCTGTATTTCAGTGCAATGGATGAAGACACTTTACATTTTCTCCCCAGGCGCTCTTGAAGTTGCTGAATAGCTGCACTCATCCTCCTTTTCCCCCATTCTGTGCTCAGAGGAACTTGAGGGCGTTGCATGATAGATTTCAGGCTGTTGTCGTGCCACCTTAACAACAGTGATTTGTCTGAAGTGTCTCATATCTCCGAGCACCATCCGTAACAGTTGATGTCTAAAGAATGGGTTGGTGCAATACCGTGCTTCAGGAAGCAACAGTTAACCCAGCCCCCCTTCACATCCACAACATATGGGACTTTGTTTGGCCCTGCACCTGAGAGCGGCACTGGTCTGTGACACCTCATATTTCATTTTGATAATGGCTGGTTACCCGTGGCAACTGTGCTGCCAGGGAGAGTCTTGCTTCTTGAAGGGCATGGGAGGAAAGAGAGAAGGTGGGTGGGTTATGGGGATGTGCACTTCAAGGTTTTTTTTTTTTTCCCCCTCTCAGCACCTCCACCCTTTCCTGGCTGGTTGTGTTGTAACCAGCGAAGGGTGTGGGACCCCTGGGGAGTGAATTATTACCTGTCAGCCCTGCAAGTTCCCTGCCATCCATAATCCCAGCCTGACACAGCACAGGCCAGTCCGGGCTGTCTGCTGAGACCACCGGGCCTTGGCCTCAAGGTCTGGCCCTGTTGAGGCCACAGCTGGTAAGAAATCACATTAACATGTTGCATCAGGTGTAACAAATGCACAGTCTCATACCTTATGCAGCATGGCATGTGGCTCTTCCATCATTGCTCTTTCTGAATTTTATTTTATTTTTTTTGTGCTCCTGGACCTGAGAGGAAGAAACTTCTCTTCTTTGCCTTGGAGTTACATTTTCTGTTTCGCTGAGTTGGTGCTCTCAGTCTCCCAGGTATATTAGTATGCCTGATTTTTAAAGTTCATTTATAGATTGCCTTTGGCACAGATGTAATGGATGGTGTCAGTTTTGTTGCATCTGCTTCCCTGTTATTGGTCCAGACTGCTGGAAGTTAAAGTGAAAACAGTACTGACAGTCATCCCTCCCATTGGTGCGATCCAAAGCCTTGGCAGAATTGTAATTACACTTGATTCCAAAAACAGGCGTGTAGCTTTATCCCTCCTGTGGTCCTGGTGTGGGTTCCTCCTGCACTGGAAATTACAGTCGAGCTGATGAGCGTGTAAATTACGGTAGGGAAGCTTCAGAGTTCAGTGAAAGGCTAGAGGGGTGAGATAGAAAAAGAGGCTGGACGTGGCGGACCACAAAATGGACAAGTGACAGCCCTCGGTCCGTCCATCCAGACTGGCTGTCTTTTTGTGGTTTCTCCAGGCTGTTCTTCTGAAACATTAACCCCTTGTCAAACATGGACTTGGGTTTTGCTTGCCAACCCACCAAGGCCACAAGCAGTGAGCAGAAACACTTCACAACTGTTTGGTTATGTGCTTCATGGAGCACACTGGATGAAGTCCAGCAATTAGAGGGGAACATATAACCCAAAGCTCGCAAAATCAGCAGATTCCCCAAGATTTATATTTCTATGGCGGAGAGGGGCTCCTGGCCAATAAAAGTACCTTTAAGAATTGAAAGCTGCAAAGCTGCATGAATTTTCAAAGTGGCTGTTCTCCTTTGTCTCACATAAATGTTTAGACATGCCTGGTTTTGGCATGAAGTTAGAGCCATTCTTGACTCATGGCTTTGTCTTTAATACTCCCTAGTCAGCTGTCCCTGTTAAAGAGATTACCCACTCTTTCACACACGTTCAGTCATGTGCTTCAAAAGATGAAGCTGGATTGAAATCTAATGGATCTTTAAAAGTTAATAACATTGAAACAATCCACCAACTTGCTCGGACCACATAATCCTTGCAGGCTTGTTGGGGTGCTGTTTCCTATCTCGAGCAGTGAGCGAGAGACAAGGTATACCCTTACCTACAGCGTAGCATTCTAACTTTGCCAGGTAAGGTTTTGGAGCAAAACAGGAAATATAACGTGGACAAAAAAACCTTCTGCAGAGGGAGAACACGCAAACTCCTCTAAATCCCCATGCAGAGGGAGAACACGCAAACTCCTCTAAATCCCCATGCAGAGGAAGAACACGCAAACTCCACAAAAGACTCAACAGCTGGGGCTGAGGCCCAAGACCTTGGTTCTGCAAGGTAACCATGCTACAACTATTCCCCCATACAACTTTTTCTTAAAGTTATATCTAAATATCTTCCTCTGTGTAGCATAAATATAATCTTCTCATGTAAGGACAATTAAGAAATCACAGCAGATTTAATTGATAATTTAAAGTGCAAGAAAAAAAAATCCCGCTCCACTTCTTAGTTTAATGATGGGAAACATCTGAGCTCAGGAAAGGTGTGTTTATTAATAACCTTGATCCATAAATTCCTGCTAATAATCTGTTCTGTAGATATTCTCTGTTAATTAAACATGCTTTTTGCAACCTGGTTGTGTATAAACAGCCAGTTTGTTCTTAATTACAGGTAATTTACTGTATAGCAAGTTGAATCACTGTTACCTTCAGCTGCTCTTATCAATGAGAATTATTGAGTAGTCTTACTCATGATGGAAACGCAGCAGGGTTGTCTGTACAAGTTGAAGCTTAAGACGTGTTATCTGCAGCTATTTGAGTAACTTCATGTTGTGTCATACCATATTTGGGAGGCTTTTGTTCATTGCTAAACATTCCATCACTGTTTCTGTAATATCATCTTTCTCTGCAGATCAGAGCAAAGAATCCATGTTTTCTTTTTAGCTTGTGAAAATAATAAACAGAGAAAACCCAGATTGGAGCTCACATCTATATCATGTTTCCAATCTATCCACACTCCTTGGGATTTTTTTTACACTTTGCCACATTAAAATAAAAAATGTCCATGTGTTTTTGTTGAATTGTTTGTTCCAGAACAACACAAAGTAGCAC